GAGACTTTTTGGCAGCCTAGCCACATACAAGCCCCCAAATCTAATGACCACCTTCAGGCTTTCAAAGGGCATAGTTCCCCGTGTCACTTCCTCACTACCTATTACAGTTTTGGAGGTCCTAAAATGCCGGGGTGATACAAACACCCCCTCAAATGACCCCTTTTTGAAATGCAGACACCCCAAGGAATTTGATAAGAGGCATGTTGATTATTTTGCAGATATCATTTTTTTGTCACAGGGTCTTGAAAAAGAAAATAAAAATAAATTTTCGTTTTCTTTCTTCATTTTCCAAAAACTTGTGCTTTTACTATCCTGGAGTTCTATGCCCAACATTAGAAACTTCTGCCACAACTCTTCTAAAGTATAACTAAATGCAAAACTTTTTTTTTGGTTTTGGATAGAGTGGAGAGGGATTAGAACCCCTGTCATGTTTTATTGCAGTCTGTGCCCCCGTTAAGAAGATTCCTCCTCTCGATTTGTCCTGTTTACCATTATCATTGCCAGTGAAAGTAAAAAAAAAATCCCAACTTTTTGGTTGTCCCCAGAAAAGTAATAGAGGGGGAATCCTCCAATAGGGACACTAGTTCTGGTGATCTGGAGGTCCCCAAGGAATTACCTTTCTTTGCAGGGATTTCTTCTCACTTCCAGTTTTGTCTATGGGACAGGAAGTGAAGGGAGATCTCTGCAGTGACACAGATGAAGAACAAAAATCTGACAAGGGGTTATAACTCTCCCTTGCTCTAACCAAAATGAAAACAATATGCCTACAGTTCTACTTTAAGGTTAAAAACATTTTAGCTTTAGAACCACTTGAAGCTTAATAAAGCTAAACTCTAGGCAGGTGTAATGCATAAAAAATAGCTGGTATTAAAGCAGAGTTCAAGCTGCAAAAAAAATAGAAGTCAGCAGCTACAAAAACTGTAGCTGCTGACTTTTAAAATACAGTCATTTACCTTTCCCTTGGTCCAGCAGTGTCCTCACCACGGCTGGTTTCACCAGCCGTCTTCTCTCCCCGGCACCGGCATCTTCAGTGTGGGCACTCAGCTGTGACAGCTTGCGGCTTCACAGCCGGGTGCCCACTGCGCATGTGTGAGAAGTACTGCGCTTTGTAAATGGCCCTGTAGTCTTCCCTGTAGTCTTCTGGGACCTGTCCCAGAAGACTACAGGGAGGGAGGGGAGGACAACTCTCGCTTCCGATCGCCTTAGGTGATCGCAGCGGAAGTGGGAGCGGGTACCTGTCAAATGCTGGTACCCGCTCCCCAAAGGTGACAATCCTTAATGGGGAGTGGGGGACAAAGACTTAGAGCAGAACTTCCCATTTTGGGTGGAGCTCTGCTTTAAATGCAAACACAAACATTTGTATATTTATGCTGGAATAATACACTGCTCCAAAAAAATTAAAGGAACACTTTTTAATCAGAGTATAGCATCAAATTGTTTAAACTCCTGGGATATTGATCTGGTCAGTTAAGTTGTAGAGGGGGTTGTTAATCAGTTTCAGCTGCTTTGGTGTTAATTAAATTAACAACAGGTGCACTAGATGGGCAACAATAAGACGGCCCCCAAAACAGGAAAGGTTTTACAGGTGGAGGCCACTGAGATTTTTTTCCCTGATCATCTTTTCTGTTTTTTACTAGTTTTGCATTTGTCTAGGGTCAATGTCACTACTGGTAGCATGAAGCGATACCTTGACCCTACAGAGGTTGCACAGGCAGTCCAACTCCTCCAGGAAGGTACATCAATACGTGCCATTGCCAGACGTTTTGTTGTGTCTCCCAGCACAGTCTCAAATCAAGAGCATGGAGGAGATTCCAGGAGACAGGCAGTTACTCTAGGACAGCGTTTTTCAACCACTGTGCCGCGGCACACTAGTGTGCCGTGAGATATTGTCTGGTGTGCCGTGGGAAAAATTCCAATTTCATCTGTAACATGTGGCTTCGGCTCACAAATAGACCAATCATTAGAATCTAATGATTCAGTGGTCGGCAAGCCGCGGCTCGCGAGCCACATGCGGCTCTTTACCCAGTCTAATGCGGCTCTTCTGTGTGCCGGGCGCCTGCTCCCCTCCCTCCTCTCGGTCGGCCGCTCCCCTGCCTCCTCTCGGTTGGCAGCCCCAAAAGTCCGCGCGGACCTTTTAATCCGGCTTGCGGATGTGGCTGTCAGGATGTGTGTAGGCGGGGCAGCGTGCCGAACGTGAGGGGAGGGGAGCTAGGCTCCTCTCACAGTCCGCCCTGAAGACCCGAACGGCGCGGGAAGACAGCGAGAGGAACGCAAAAGGTAAGTGAATTGACACGGGGGACTTGGCTTACTAGAAGGGGGGGGGGAATAGTACTGTGGGGGATGAAATACTATATGAGGGATGAATTACTTTATGAGGGATGAAATACTATATGGGGGGATGAAATACTATATGGGGGATGAATTACTATATCAGGGATGAATTACTATATGAGGGATGAAATACTATATGGGGGGATGAAATACTATATGAGGGATGAATTTACTATATGGGGGGATGAAATACTATATGAGGGATGAATTACTATATGAGGGATGAAATACTATATGAGGGATGAAATACTATATGGGGGGGATGAAATACTATATGAGGGATGAAATACTATATGGGGGGATGAAATACTATATGAGGGATGAAATACTATATGAGGGATGAATTACTATATGGGGGATGAAATACTATATGAGGGATGAAATACTATATGGGGGATGAAATACTATATGGGGGATGAAATACTATACGGGGGATGAAATACTATACGGGGGATGAAATACTATACGAGGGAAATGAAATACTATACGGGGGATGAATTGCTATGGGGGATGAATTACTATATGGGGGATGAATTACTATGGGGGATGAATTACTATATGGAGGATGAATTACTATATGGGGGATGAATTACTATATGGGGGATGAATTACTATGGGGGATGAATTACTATGGGGGATGAATTACACTATGGGGGATGAATTACACTATGGGGGATGAATTACTATATGGGGGATGAATTACTATGGGGGATGAATTACTATATGGGGGATGAATTACTATATGGGGGATTAATTACTATGGGGGATGAATTACTATATGGGGGATTAATTACTATGGGGGATGAATTACTATGGGGGATGAATTACTATATGGGGGATTAATTACTATGGGGGATGAATTACTATGGGGGATGAATTACTATATGGAGGATGAATTACTATGGGGGATGAATTACTATATGGGGGATTAATTACTATGGGGGATGAATTACTATATGGGGGATTAATTACTATGCTTACTATGGGGAATATTACTATACTTACTATGGATGACACATACACATCATTCATCTACTCTTGGTCCGGCCCCCGGGTCCAATTATAAAATACTTTATTATTTCATAATAAAGTAATTATAAAATAATTTCTTTGTGTTTGATTCCTATTCAAGAGAATTACTTTATATATAGTCAATATAGGCACAGAGGTAAATTTTTTTAACATTTTCTAATGGTGGTGTGCCTCGTGATTTTTTTCATGAAAAAAGTGTGCCTTTGCACAAAAAAGGTTGAAAAACACTGCTCTAGGAGAGCTGGGCAGGGCCTGTAGATGGTTCTTAATCCATCAGCACAACCGGTTTCTGCTGCTCTGTGGATGGAGGAACAGGATGAGCACTGCCAGAGCCCTACAAAATGACCTCCAGCAGGCCACTGGTGTGAATGTCTCTGACCAACCAGAAACAGACTTCATGAGGGTGGCCTGAGGGCCCAACGTCCTCTAGTGGGCCCTATACTCACTGCCCGGCACCATAGAGCTCGATTGGCATTTGCTATTGAACACAAGAATTGGCACTAGCACCCTGTGCTTTTCACAGATGAGAGCATTTTCACCCTGAGCACATGTGACAGATGTGAATGGATCTGGAGAAGCCATGGAGAACGTTATACTGCCTGTAACATCATCCAGCATGACTGTTTTGATGGTGGGTCAGTGATGGTCTGAGGAGGCATATCCATGGAGAGACGCACAGACCTCTACAGGCTAGATAATGGCACCCTGACTGCCATTAGGTATCGTGATGAAATCCTTGGACCCATTGTCAGACCCAACACTGGTGCAGTGGGTCCTGGGTTTTTCCTGGTGCGCGACAATGCCCGCCTCATGTGGTGAATGTATGCAGGTAGTTCCTGGAGGATGAAGAGATTGATATCATTGAATGGCCCCACGCTCACCTGACCTAAATCCAACAGAACACCTCTGGGATATCATGTTTCGGTCCATCCAACACTGCCAGATTGCAGCTTAGACTGTCCAGGAGCTCAGTGATGCCTTGGCCAGATCTGGATGGAAATCCCCCAGGACTCCATCTGTCGTCTCACTAGGAACATGCCCCGATGTTGTCAGACATGTATACAAGCACGTGGGGGTCATACAAACTACTGAATGCCATTTGGAGTTGCTGCAATGAAATTTCAGCAAAATGGACTAGCCTGCTGCATAATATTTTCACTTTGATTTTCAGGGTGTCTTTGAATTCAGTCCTCTGTAGGTTGATAATTTTCATTTCCATAAAAAGATGGAGCATCCTTACATTCCTAACACATGACCCAGTCCATATCAGTATAGATATCCAGCAGGAGACTTTTCCCCATTGAAATCTGATGCGTTTTAAAGTGTTCCTTGCATTGTATTGAGCAGTGTGTATTCCTCTAACAAGGCTGCATAGCAGTACATAGTCTGGTGCCCGCCCATACTGATAACAGGGCGGGAGGAGCTGTGGTGACGTAGAGGAGGCGTACCCAGAGATCGGCTACATCCAGCAAAGGGGCTAAGGAGTGCGCGAGCACTCAGGCCGCACATGCGCAAAGTAGTATATGGGGGCGCGCATTGGGATGCTTGCGTATATTGTGATACCGGATTAGAAGTTAACGTTCTCTATTAGCCACGTTTGTGTCCCGGGATCAAAACACACACATAGGGCGTCGGAGATGGAAGCCAGCCTGACGTGTGCTGTGTGCCTGGGCGTCTTCCGGGATCCGGTGACTCTGCCGCTGTGCTCTCATAACTTCTGTAAGAGCTGTGTGCTGGAATGTGGAGGGGAGCTTCACAGCCGGAGCATGCACTTCACCGTCCCGGGGCCCGCGCAGGTCACGTGTCCGCTCTGCCGCAAAGTCAGCTCCATCCCCGGCGGCCTGGCCGCTCTGCCCGTCAATACGACCCTGGCGGAGCTAGTGCGGCTGCTGTCTCTGGGCGCCCGGGAGCAGGGGGCGGCGGTGGGCACTGAAGAAGCCGAATATAGTGAGAGGGAAGCGGCGGGGCGCTGCCCGGAGCATCCGGAACACAAGCTGGAGCTTTTCTGTAAGAACTGTGCCGTCTCCTGCTGTGGGAAGTGTGTGTCCTGCCACCACCAGGGGATCTTCCACAACGTCAACCTCCTGGACATGGTCTACCAGGAGGAGAAGGTGAGATGTTAGGGCTGACTGAGGATCCCTAGGTCGTATCCCATAATAATGATCATCATATGTGGGTGGAGAACCAGGGCGCCCAACATTGGAGCTCTGTAAGTGGAAACATCATCCTCCTGGACATGGTCTACCAGGAGGAGAAGGTGAGATGTTAGGGCTGACTGAGGATCCCTAGGTCGTATCCCATAATAATGATCATCATATGTGGGTGGAGAACCAGGGCGCCCAACATTGGAGCTCTGTAAGTGGAAATGTCACCCTCCTGGACATGGTCTACCAGGAGGAGAAGGTGAGATGTTAGGGCTGACTGAGGATCCCTAGGTCGTATCCCATAATAATGATCATCATATGTGGGTGGAGAACCAGGGCGCCAACATTGGAGCTCTGTAAGTGGAAATGTCACCCTCCTGGACATGGTCTACCAGGAGGAGAAGGTGAGATGTTAGGGCTGACTGAGGATACCTAGGTCGTATCCCATAATAATGATCATCATATGTGGGTGGAGAACCAGGGCGCCCAACATTGGAGCTCTGTAAGTGGAAACGTCACCCTCCTGGACATGGTCTACCAGGAGGAGAAGGTGAGATGTTAGGGCTGACTGAGGATACCTAGGTCGTATCCCATAATAATGATCATCATATGTGGGTGGAGAACCAGGGCACCCAACATTGGAGCTCTGTAAGTGGAAACATCACCCTCCTGGACATGGTCTACCAGGAGGAGGAGGTGAGCATTTCGGGCTGACTGAGGATCCCTAGGTTGTATCCCATAATAATGATCATAATGTGTGGGTGGAGAACCAGGGCACCCAACATTGGAGCTCTGTAAGTGGAAACATCACCCTCCTGGACATGGTCTACCAGGAGGAGAAGGTGAGATGTTAGGGCTGACTGAGGATACCTAGGTCGTATCCCATAATAATGATCATCATATGTGGGTGGAGAACCAGGGCACCCAACATTGGAGCTCTGTAAGTGGAAACATCACCCTCCTGGACATGGTCTACCAGGAGGAGGAGGTGAGCATTTCGGGCTGACTGAGGATCCCTAGGTTGTATCCCATAATAATGATCATAATGTGTGGGTGGAGAACCAGGGCACCCAACATTGGAGCTCTGTAAGTGGAAACATCACCCTCCTGGACATGGTCTACCAGGAGGAGGAGGTGAGCATTTCGGGCTGACTGAGGATCCCTAGGTTGTATCCCATAATAATGATCATAATGTGTGGAGGGAGAACCAGGGCACCCAACATTGGAGTCCTGTAAGTGGAAACGTGTCACCCTCCTGGACATGGTCTACCAGGAGGAGAAGGCGAGCTGTCAGGGCTTACTGAGGATCCCTATGTCATATCCCATAATAAGACATGTGTGGAGAACCAGGGCACTCAACATTGGAGTTCTATTTAGAGGAAACAAGTCAACCTCCTGGACATGGTCCACCAGGAGGAGAAGGTGAGCTACCAGGGCTGACGTTAACATCCCTAGATTATATACCATAATGATCATAAGATGTGGGTGGAGAACCAGGGCACCCAACATTGGAGTCTTGTAAGTAGAAACATGTCAATCTCCTGGACATGGTCTACCAGAAGAGGTGAGCTTCCATAGGGATCCCTAGTTTATGGCCTCTAATAATAATACATGGGCGGCCAAACCTTGGCATCCAGTGGACCCCACATTAGAGTCTTATTGGTGGAAACGCATTAACCTCCTGGAAATGGTCTACCAGGAGGATATGGAGAACTGACATGGGGATTCTAGGTCATATCCCAAAATAACCATAAATCGTATGGAGATCCAGGGCACCCAATATTTGGTTTTCTGTTAGTGGGAAACAAGTCAACCTCCTGGACATGGTCTACCAGAAGGAGAGAAGGTGGACTGACATAAGGATCCCTAAGTCTTCTCTCATTATAATAAGACATGGGTGGTGAAGCCTGAGAACCAGGGCACCTAACACTGGAATCCTATTAGTGGACACATAATGACCTCCTTGACATAGTCTACGTCGAGGAGAAGGTCTGCGGCCTTAGAGATCCCTAGGTTATATATCCTATGTTATTTCAAAATGGGCAGCCAAACACTGGCATCCAGTGCACAACAATGGAGTTTTATTAGTAGAAACACAATGTTAACCTCCTTAACTTGGTCTACCAGTGGAGAAGGTAAGCTGCCTTGGAGATGCATAGTTCAGACCCCAGCACTGATGGAAAGGGGCAAGGGAGAGTGAAACTAGGATGCTGTGCAGGCAACCGACATCCTCCTTATCAACTGATGATGTCATTGGTTGTTAGGACGCCAGCGGCTAGAAAGTCGTAAAGGTGCACAATGAAGACCTGTGGCTTTGTGTAAATAAAAGGCAGTCTTGTTCCACCCCGCTGGCTTGCATGCAAGTTTTGGCCAATTTTTAGACATTTTGCCAAGGCACCCCTGAAGAAAAACAATGCACCCAGGGTGCCTGGTTGAAAAGGCTGTCATATAATAATAAAACATGGGCGTCCATACCTTGGCATCCAGTGTACTCAACACTGGAGCCTTATTAGTGGAATTAGCGTCCACCTCCTGGACATGGTCTACCAGGAGGAGACGGTAAGCTGCCTCTGAGATCCATAGGTCATATCTCATAATAAAAAAAAACTTGGATCGAGTGCACGCATCATTGGAGTCCTATTAGTGAAAATACTACCTCATGGACATGGTCTACCTGGAGGAGAAAGTGAGGTGACATGGGGATCCCTAGATCATATTTTATATAATATAAAACGTGGTTGTCTGAACCCGGGGAACCACTGCCTTCTGGACGTGGTTTATCAGGAGGAGGTGGTGAGCTGCCAGGTGGATCCCTAGGTAATATCTAATAATATAAAAACATAGACAACAGTACCCTGGTATCCAGTGTACCCAACATTGGAGACCTGTTAGTTGAATTACATTGTCAACCTCCTGGACATGGTCTACCAGGAGGAGATGATGAGCTGCCATGGGGATACTTGGGTAATATCCCATAGTAAATCTAGGATCCAGTGCACCCAATATTAGAGTGTTAATGGAAACACATAGTCAACCTCCTAAATGTGGTCTACTTGGAGAAGGTGAGTTGCCAGGGCTGCCATGGGGTTCTCGTCATGTATCCCATAATAATAATGAAACATTGACATCCAAACCCTGGGAACCAGTGCACCCAATGCTAGAGTCTTATTAGTGCAAACACATCAACCTCCCAGACATGGTCTGCCAGGAGGAGACGTTGAGATGCCAGACATGGTCTGCCAGGAGGAGAAGTTGAGATGCCATGGGGATCTCCAGGTCACATACCCCTTAATAATAAAACATGGGTGGCTGAACTCTGGGTCCAGTGTACCCAACATTGGAGTCATATGTTCCTGACTTGAAGCAAGTGGGCTATAGCAACTACCAGTATCAATGTCAGTCATACATATACAGTTAGGCCCATATATATTTAGACACAGGCACAAATGTTATACTTTTGGGCAACCAGAATAAATTAAAACAAAACAATCCAAATGAATTTGAAGTGCAGACTTTCAGCTTTAATTCAAGGGGTTGAACATAAATATCAAGTACAAATTTTAGGAACTGCAACTATTTTTATACACAGTCCCTCCATTTTCAGGGGCTTACATGTAATTGGACAAATTAATATAATCATAAATAAAATGTTAATTTTTAATATTTTGTTGGGAATCCTTTACTGGCAACGACTACCTGAAGTCTGGAACCCATGGACATTACTAAAGACTGTGTTTCCTCCTTTTGATGCTTTGCCAGGCTCTAACTGCAGCTGTCTTCAGTTCTTTGTGGGTCTTTCTGCCTTTAGTTTTGCCTTCAGCAAGTGAAATGCATGCTCAGTTGGGTTGTTATCAGGTGATTGACTCGGCCATTGCAGAATATTCCACTTCTTTTCCTTCAAAAGATCCTGGGTTGCTTTTGCAGTGTGTTTTGGATCATTGTCCATCTGTACTGTGAAGCACCGTCCAATCAACTTTGCTGCACTTGGCTGAATTTAGGCCTACAGTATATCTGTAAGCACTGCAGAATTCATCTGGCTGCTTCTGTCTTATGTCACATCATCAATAAACACCAATGACCCAGTGCCCCTGGAAGCCATGCATGCCCATGCCATCACACTGCCTCCGCCATGTTTTACAGATGACATTGTGTGATTTTGATCATGAGCTGTTCCAAGCCTTCTCCACACTTTTTTCTTCCCGTCATTCTGGTACAGATTAATCTTAGTTTCATCCATCCAAAGAATGTTTTTCAAGAACTGGTCTGGCTTTTTTAGATGTTTTTTGGCTTTTCTGTTCTTCAGACTTATGAATGGTTTGCAGCATGTGGTGAACCCTCTGTATTTGCTCTCGTCAAGTCTTCTCTTTTATTGTAGACTGACAATGATACGTCCACCTCCTGGAGAGTGTCCTTCCCTTGTCTGGATGTTGTGAATGGGTTTTTCCTTACCATAGAGGGGATCCTGGGATCATCCACCACTGTTGTCTTCCGTGGACGTCCTTGCCTTTTATGTTGCTGAGCTCATTCTTTCCTCAGAATGTACCAAACTGTTGATTTGGCCTAATGTTGCTGCTATCTCTCTGATGAATTTTTCATTTTTGAAGCCTTACAATGGCCTGTTTCACTTGCATGGACAGCTCCTTTGAACGCATGATGTAGGTTCACAGCAATAGATTCCAAATGCAAATACCACACTTAGAATCAAATCCAGAACTTTTACCTGCTTAATTGATTATTATTATTATACAGGATTTATATAGCGCCAACAGTTTGCTCAGCGCTTTACAATATAATGGGAGACAAAACAGCAGCAATACAGTTCAATACAAGAGGGAAAGGAGGGCCCTGCTCCTTGGAGCTTACAATCTAGGATCTAGAATTGATGAAGAAATAATGGAGTAGCTCACACTTGGCCATGAAACAGCTTTTGATTCAACTGTCCAATTACTTTGGGTCCCTTGAAAAAG